GGGGTACTGTGAATGCCACCTCAGACTGTCGTAGGTTGTGACGTCAGATGACCTGTCGGGGATCTACCTTCGGGGCGTTGCCACAAACAGAGTCAGTGTATGATGGATGCTGAACCTTGCTTTAACACAAGGTCGCTCCCCCCTGGCACACAACACAACTATCTGTACTCTTCAGTCTCTCCACCAGAGGTTGAACCGGTGTGTACCCACACCACACATCCCAAGGGGAAGTTGTCCACACGTGAACCTGGAGACATCAGTCTCATTATCAACAAATACAGTACAAGTATTTATGATGAACGCACGCACGGTTAAAACGCTATTCTCTTGGGTATTCACCAACCCTGACACTCAACGCGTGCACCTCTCAAACTCTCAATCAACAACAACGGTGATACAGGGCTCAACGAGTATGTCACCGAGGAGCTAGCGTTCGAATTCCACTACTTCTTCACAAGAAAGTTCTGGATGCTTTACCACTGCCAGGCGCTGGTGGTCGCCCCGGGGGGCTTCGGCACGCTCGACGAGCTTTTCGAGGTAAAGTATTCCGACACCGCAAGTACTTCCGCAGGAGTTTTTCCGCGTTAGTCTTGTGGTCCGGGACGAGGAAATCAACACACTGGTATGATAGGAACGCCCTTTCGTGTTTTTATCGCGGGCCTTTCGATGCGTTCTAGACAGCGCCGCAAAGCAGGGGTCAGTGGACTATTTAGTCTATCGCCTCGCTCGGCAAGATTTCCGAGGCCCATTTTCATGCGGCAAGAGAGACATGAGAGAGAAACAAGATAGAGAGACAGAGAGAGATAGATGAGAGCAAAAGGGGCGAAGTCATGAGGTGCATGGTGTACAGTTGTATTGTATCCGACGATAGACTATAGACGATAGACGATAGAGGCGGGAGCGCCACGAAGGAAGCGGAGTAAATTAACCCTATCACACGTATGCAGAATGGTAGGAGGCGATTGTGTCAGGGAAGCAGCAAATTTATCAAGAAGACACGTCGGTTGTGCAGGGCGCAACGGCTTACCCTCTCTGGTTTGTTTTTGTGACGGTCTAGAACCACTCCGTAATCACACATTTTCAACTGTAGATTTTGGCTCTTTCGGCGCTTGGAGCGTTGGACTCATGCCAGACCTAGCCTTCCGACCCTTATCCCGCCTCCTTACGTTGTTTTTGCTGAATTGGACGTTACGGGCCCTTCTTGACGTTGTGCGTGCTTCCACGGACGTGTTTCTAGTGGCAATGTTTTGCCATGGATCCTCTCGGAGGTTCTGAACCGATCTTGGGAACGGTTCTCCTCTGAAGACACATGCACGGGTGTCACACCCCCGCCCCCCCGCTCATACCATGTATACCATGTATACCATGTACCTCCCCGCGTTTCTGGCGCACAGGTGCTGACCCTGAAGCAGACAGGCAAGGTGCAGAAGACTCTGCCGGTCATTCTTTTCGGCAAGGACTACTGGGAGAAGATCATCAACTGGCAGGTGACCAATCATGTTTTCGCCGCGAACACGATGTCTCAAGGGCTCGTGTATGTAGAGGTCCTCCATAAGCCACTCACACCTCTTCTCTTGCTCACTTGGGGAAATGCCTCGGGAGAAGTATCGCTCGAATCACGCGCACAACCTCCTCTGTGTCAGTTTGTGGGAGGATCCTAAAGCGTTCCAGCGGCCCTCAATGATTCTTGCGTCTTGTCGTTAAGAAGCCGGTTAGCGAGGCGAGCGCTTTTGAACGTGTTCGTTCTCTTGGTTTCTGTTGATTCTGTTGATAATGTCCATGCAATGAAATAATCCGCTTCAAGTTACTGGTAGATATCCGCCCGTGAAGTTCAACAAAGGTTTTCCATGTGAAGCGTTTTGGGCGTTACGTATCAGGACAATCAGATTGGTCCTGCATAAATAAATGCATTTTATAATCACGGAAGTACAGCAATTTTTTGGTTGAGGTTACGTTGAGGCCAGCACGATCGATACGCGCTTCCTTCGCCACACATCAATCCACAGGAAGGATTCGGGATCCATCTTGGATGCGTAGACTAGATGCACACTTTGGAATTCAAACAGAAACACACGTTGCAATCGATTTTGCTTGGACGGCAGGCCTTGGTGGACTTCGGCACCATTGCACAGGAAGACGTGGACTCGCTTTTCTTCACGGACGACCCGCAAGAGGTGTGTTGTCGTCATTGTCGCTGCTGCCCCTTGCGTGCGGAAATTGCCTTAGGAACTGCAGTAGAAAGCGAGTTTTTCAGATGGATCCTACCAAAGGGGGGAGGAGTCTGAAACGGGGTTTTGTTGGAGTTGATAGAATTGGGCGTTAATGTTGTATGCCGAAGAGGATGTCTGCGTGCTGGTAGGAGAGGAGGCCTGCGTGCTTGTAGGAGAGGAGGCCTGCGTGCTTGTAGGAGAGGAGGCCTGCGTGCCGAGGTAAGACAGCTGCTCGCAGAAATTTGCTATTGCCCCCGATCACGTTGAAGCATCAGCAGTGCTAGGAGAAGCACATGGATTGCTAGGCATACGAGGGCAACACTGCCGGCTGCTACCTGTTAGGGCATTCTGTTTCCGGGAGCTAGTGTCGTTTTGTGGACCTTCCCTCTGCGAGACCCTGGCTGACGCGTCAAGAATGAACTGTCCCGAAAGGTGTAAAGACTGACGTCCAAGTAAAATGCGACGACACAACGACGCACTCATTGCCCTGACGGGGTGTTAGATGTGATGGGGGCAATACCAGCAACTCCTAGCATCGACGAACCGTACAACTGGAGCGCCTCACGTCTACGAAATCACCCGGAAAAAGAACGTCCTTCATCAACCGGAGCTTGGTCGCGAACTGGCCTCTTTGGTTTGGTTTTCGCTAGAAAGTTCATCTTTGTCCGGGAATATCCTGCCGGAAACGTGTTCTCCCTGTCAGACTTGCGTGCGCAGCTGTGGTGATGTTGTTGGTCGAGGAGCAACTTAATGAGGGCAGCGCCAAGGATAGATGCGCCGGAGGAGAAAACAAAGTCTGCTGAAACTGTGTTGGGGCTATTTTTCAAAGTGAATCACCGCAGACCGTTGAAAAAATAAAATGAACGAAGGAGACGTAGTCTATCCTATGTTAGGAACACCTGTTTTACCCCGATACACGCCCACGAGCGCGGTTTACTGGCATGCCTTTGTACTGAAATTTGATGCTGCTGCAGCGGTATGTTCAGCCCTCTCTTTTGTGTTTGCTCACTCACTCCGTATCGTCTTCCCCCTCTGCCCCGTCCCACCCTTTACGTTCTTTGGTCATTTCGTGCATGCGTTAGGCTCTTGACTACTTGGTTGGGTGCCTTACCGAGAGCGGGATCAAGGGCAACGAGGAGCTGTGATGGCTGTGATTTATCGTACTTGCCAAAGATAGGGGTGGGGTCTGTCCCAACGGGTCGGCGAGGTGCCTTAGGCCACGAGGAACCAATTGTTGCATGTTTTGAGGTTGGGAGATGAGGGGAGGATACGTTAGCAAGCGCGGAGAGGATTTCATCGCGCTACGTCCACGAAGCACTCTCGGGAGACTAGGGGAGTATATATTACAACTATCGAGAACGATTTAGCCATCGATAGAGACGCGGCCGACCGCATCGCGGGATCATTTCAGACCGGTCCCGACCAGATTGTTAGCGGCATCGACTGGTGTTGGCTGCAACGGATGGGTTGATGGGCACGCGCCAGGGCTGACAGAGGTACACTTGCAGGGAGGTTTGGCGTAGTTCCAAGAAGTACAAGCTGTTGATTGACGTCAGGTGGGAGTAGGTCGTTCGGGTGGCTTCGGCTAATATCGTGATTGGTTGCAACTGCGTCACAGGTTGTTGGTGCCTTCTTGATTTGTTTTCTTGATTGCGACAGATTCATACATATTTGGCTAGTGTTTATGGTAAGACCTTTTGGATACAGTGGTTTTGCGATAATTGTTGTTCCTCTTGTCGGTTATGCTGTGCAAACGCTCTGTTGAAAGTTGAAAATTGACTTTTCACGACACCACGGCGGGCTAGGAGATGTACGTGTTCAATGTGCTGTTCTTACCGGCACTCGAGTCAATGTGCCGTTCTTGTCGGCACTTGAGCTCGAGCTCTTTGCCGCCAAGTTCTCGAGGTCGAAGTTCGTTTTCCCTCCAAGGACTCGCTTTTCGCTGGCATGCGGCGAATGGGCCGAACGAGGTTGTCTGAGTTACGCTTTCTTGTGGTCCCTCGGACGAAGTGCGCGCGAAAGTACGGCTGCATGCGCTCCGTTTTCTGGCGACGTTCCGTGTAGTGATGTACGCCATCCGTGAACAGTAATCACTGACTCAGATCCACAAGTGGCGGCGACGATAAGTGAACGGAGAACGTCGTCCGGCGCGCTCAAGATATATGCCTCGCGTGTTCAATTGTTGAGCATCCATCTACCCGGCGCTACATTAACCGGTTGATAATTTAGGCCTGTGCTCCGTAGGTGATTTTTTTTTTTTTCGGTGATATTTTCCGATTGCCCCCAAAAAATTGGTTTGTATTCTAGCTGCACGAAAATGTTTTTCGGTGAAAATCGGTGCCAATTAAAAAGGTGAGAACCAAAAAAAAACTTGTTCGGTGATAATTTGAAGTAATATTGGGGTGAGCTGCCGAAAAACGTCCCTCAGCGATTATCGATGTTTCGAAGGATCGTAGTAAGTACTCCACGTCAAATACCGTGGGTGGTGTCTGCAGCGCGGTGCTTGGGTTGCGTGCGCTGTGTGCTCTGCTGCTGTGCTGCTGCGCTTGAGGGGGGGTATCTGATAGGATTTAGGGGGTATAGCCTGTATACACGGAGCCCCCTAAAAAAACCGGTGAAGGTCGGTGGGCGCCGGCAACAATCGGTGAGGCACCTCCCGTTTTCGGTGATCGGCCACCTTTTTTTCGGTCATTCAAAATCTTCACTTTTCTCGGTGACCTTATCAAAATTCGGTGATTTGCGGTGATCACCTACGGAGCACAGGCCTATGATCAATGAATATACGTTTGTAGTCCTAGCGGGGAAGTAGACCCAAAGCACCTTTTGTTAAGCGGACTCACTCCCACCGGCAGGAGGCCCAGGAGGTTGGACGATAAGGTCCAGCCTCCTCAACCTTAACGCGGAATAGCTGCTACACAACGCCACTATTATAATACGACGCATCCCGCGGTATCCCCTCCTCCCGTGATAACGCACGTGTGTTTCCGGCAGTAGCTCGGGGCGTGAATTGTGCACGACCGGCACAAATCATACCGGACATCCAAGCTGGAGCCTCGGCGGCTGTGTATCTCACTAGCTGTGCATACGTTCACGAAGCGGTTGCTGATCATGACATTCTAGCGGGTTCTTTGCACAGTCAACAATGCCTCACGGCGGCCTGTTGGGGAGAGGGGAATGGGAGAGGGGAATGGATCTGACTTTGACGGGTAACACGGCAGCACCACGCCCGCCCAGATGTGAGGTCTCCAAAAAGGGCAAGCCTTAAAAAACAAAAAAAAGTTACGACTACAAGGTGACTCCAACGTCAAGGCCTCACGCCGTCATGACGGACGGACAGCCTCTCTCTGTCTCACATGACCACCTAAACAAACACAATCAATCCACAAACGAGACGCCCCCCGTGCCATGCATCATTCGTACGCAGTTGGTCGGTTTCAAACAACAGACAGACCCGCTTGAAACGCCAGTCAACAACACGAACAAAACTACCCGTGCGCTTCCCAAGTCACAAGCTGTTCCCAGGTCATCCCCACGGCGTTGCTCGCGATCTCCTGGCCCCCCCTGCCCGTCACGACGAGTCGCGGTACCGAGTTGACTCCCTTGCTTGACGCGAAGTCTTCCCGGAAAGGGTGGTCGTATGGGACGGCCGGCCAGGGCATGCCGGCGTGGTACCTATGTTTCCATCACAATAGTGTACGTCTTCGTTCACAGATTGCAGTCGTCCGCGGTCCAATGAAAAAGCAAGCTGTATGTATCGGTCGTGCCTTCAAACCCTGTTTCGAGAGCGCTCGTTCCCCGAGTATACGCAGAGATCAAGGTAGTTGTTGACTATTTGGCGGGAGAGAGGCAATGCTGGCCTTCCCGCGACAAGGCCAGCACTGCAGAAAGAAGGTGGGGTTCAGAGTAAAGAGCCCCCTTGTGTGACCCCCCCTACTGTGCCAGAGTGAGCGATGAAGGAGCGATGATCAACTCGTGCTGACATCAGGTGGGGCGAGTGATGACTGCAAATCGCATCGAATGAGTGGCTTTTTTCTCTGCTTTGCTCTGGTCTCCATGATAACACGGGAAAGCCCGCAAGCGCTTCGTCATAGGGTCAAGTCAGGCGGGGACTTCTTGTGTCGGATTGTTCTCCGTGCCACTGACAACTCGCTGTGCTGAACGCCGTATTCACTGCTGCTGCTGCTGCTGCTGGCAACAAAAGGTAAGAGGTTGCGAGCTTAGCGTTCGCGGTCATCACGTACTTGGGGGGGGGGGGG